TTCCCCGTCTCTGCTTTGAAGCCTACCGGGCTGCAACCGGGGATCCCAGAGGGAAAGCCCTCTGGCGCACAGGGGACAATCCAGGAAGTGGTAAAGCGGACACCAGGGCACAGGCCTATGCTTTCGTTGGAGGCGAGAAACTGGAGCGAGCGCTGCAGATTCAGTGCGGGGCTGCAGGAGGACCCGAATCCCTGGCCCCCCGGGGTGGAAAGGAAGCCTCCCGGTGGTGGTGGGTGCCGACCTTCTCGGAGCCAGCGGCTGCTGGGGCCGCGTCCGCACACCCCGGGTCTGGGCTCCGGCATTGGGGGTGCGGACCATCGGTCTGTTCTCAGAGCAAGTAGGGTACCTGTGGGCAAGCCTGGCCAGGCCAGGAGCCTCCTTCCTTGCCCCTCCCCGTTGGCCGTGGGAGGCCTGCTGGGGTGTTCCCACGACCACCCCCTTCTCACCCTATCCCCAGTTTGGAAAAGGGCTCAAGGGCGGGCTTTTCAGGGACCTGGGAGAGAACAGGAAGGCCCCAAGACTGGAGAAGGATTGAAGCCCTCAGAGGTGCCCCGAATTGTGACAATTTCTTGGGGTCCTTGGGTGGGGAAAGGAGGCTTAGAGGCTCGAGCTGTAGGCTGTCCTAGAGTGGCGAGGCGAGGACCTGGCCCCAAACTCCCTCCTTATGCCCTGGCGCAGGTGCGAGGCGCCTGGTGTCCCCGGGGGAGCCCCTTGAGACTACCACCCCTGCGGGGGGTCCTGCTGCGGCTTCTGGGTGGTAAACGCTGAGGTCGAGGGTGAGGGAGCTGTAGAGGCTGCCAGTGCAAAAAGCACCAGGATCCGGGTGTGCTGAGTGGAGCAGGGAGTGGAAGAGGCAGCCGGTCCTCGCCCTCCTCTCCTGCCAACACGTATCCTTCTCGACTTTGGAGTGGTTTGCAATCCGAAAGAGTGACCTAGCGTCCTCAGAGGGCCGCCTAAGCTCCAGAGGTCACGCTCCCCATAGACACCCCTTTCCCTTCCCTCCTCCCCAGCTCCCTCTGGATAGGGTGGTAATTGAGGGAGGAGAGGCTGTTGGCAGGGAGGGGGTGGGAAGGCCAGAGTGGGCTGCACCAAGTGTGGCAAACACCCGGGCCTCAGGCTGGGCCGCTTCCTTTAATTCCACAAAATCCCATTTTAGAGGTGAGAAATAGAGGTTAGAGGTTGGGTCTTCTGGCGATCAGACCCCAAAGACGGGCCCAGCTGGCGTCTTAAACCGGGGAGGAGGAGGCGGGAGGAGGTGAGACCCCTGTACCCAGGTGGGGGTTCTCAAACTGTTCCAGATTTTCCACACTCCCAGGTGCGATTTTCCGTGGAGCGCTGGGAGTAGGGCAGGCTCTTTCTTGTAGTTAACCGCATTCGATATTCACTAGAACCCTGTGAGGAGTCTTTGTCACTGTTTCTAGATACCTGAGGTTGCCGGAGGGGCAGTGAGAGAATGGCGGTCTAACCTGCTGTTCCTAGCAAAGTGCACACCCGTCTCCCCAGCTGGACCCACGGTCCCAGCCACCACCCAGTGAAGGCGTGAGGCTGGCTGTACCTGCTTTACAGGTCTCCTTTAGGTCCCTCAGGAGCAGGGAACTGCCTCACAGCGCAAGCCCTTTGTCCCCCTTCGCTCCCAAATATTCTTCACGGTGTGGTTCTGTTTGCGGTCTGTGACCTGAATCTTGCTTGAGCTACCCCCAGGGCCAGCTCCCGGAGAGGAAAGATCACTTGGAGGCAGTGTGTGTCCGTGGTGTGAGGAACAGCAGGCAGGGTGTGGGTACCCACAGGCACACACAGGTGCTGGGCGGAAGGGGGGAGGGAGGCGCCGCTGGCTCCCTTTCCCTCCATTTCTCCCTGGGGGTCCCAGCAACCTGGTCATCGCTGACTTCCAATAGCACAGAGTCCCCACAGGTCCTGCAGTGCTCTGCAGGGGTGCAGGGAGCCCCCATTACCGAACCCCTCCCTCCACCCCGCTACTACTCGGCAGGGAACTACAGGCTGGGTTGGGGACCCCTGGCTACTCCAGGAGCGCAGTGAGTGCTGGGAGCCGTTAACCCCGAGGTGCCTAGCCCAGACTCTTCCCACCCCCTATTTTTGAAATAAAGCCTTTGGTTATGTCCAGATAAGGGCCACGTGCTCAGCACCTCACTTTCGCGGGAGCGTCTATCGCTTTATATACCAAGACAACTTTCTTTCGTTACAAATCTTTTAGTCTCTGCATTCAGCCCAAAGTAGATTTTTATGGGCTGAGTGAAGAAACTTCGTTCGCATCGGTTCCTAATGGAAGAGCTGGCAGCGCCACCGCCCGAGGGTGGGGTGGCCTAGACACGGGGGTTCTTGGGAGGAACATCTAGTGCCAGGCCACCTCCACCAGGTCAGAAAGGGACGTTTGCACCAAATCTCCACCGGCAAAGCAGAGGCTTTGGGGAATTACAGGAAAACCGTAATGGTAGAACAGAACAAGTTTTCTTGAAGTGTGCGGGTATTTGAATTATGCAGAAAATTGTCCCGTGTGCCCACATTTGCGTGTAGAACCAGAGTCTTCGACAGGGCTTTCGGGAATCCCGGCAGCAGAGTCTGTTCTGGGGTTCATTTCCCTAGGTGCAGATTTCTCCCCAAGTCTTCCCGCCACGGGCTTTGCAAGAAGCCAGGGCCCAAGTGCCACTTTCACCTTCAGCACCGCACAGGCGAGGGTGGCTCCAGGTCACTGCCCAACCCCAGGAACGACCCTGCAGCAGAGAAAAGGACAGTCACCAGGGTGCATTTGTCCATTTTTAGAAATCAGAATTCCTAAGTCTTTAGTAAAGTCTTCTCCAAACCCCAGAGCCTTTAAATTTTGGTCCTTGCCATTGCTGGTTAAACGATTGTAAATGCTGCCGCCACCAGGCTGTCAGCCTGGGTGTCTGGGTGTCGGGGAGGAAGGGCCTGCTGATGAGAGCACAGGGAGCGCCGCGGTGATCACGGTGATGATGCGGGGTGAGCGCGATTCCCGGGGTTAAAAAGCTACCGCTGCCCCCGTGGTGGAGGCTGGGGACACAGAATAATGAGCTGTGATTGTATTCTCGAGATCGAGTTTGTGAAATTAGCCACCCCCTCAGCCAGGATAAGCCCCTAAATCCTTGAGCCCAGGAGAAGAAATTAAAAGTCGTCTCTTTTTTAGCTGCAGAATAGTTTTGGGGTTTTTTGTTCGTTTGCTGGTTTTTAAAGTTTTTTTTTTTTTTTTTTTTTTTTTAAGTGTTTAGTTGCCGCACAGGGAAGGTTTTGTGAAGCTTTCCCGCTGCCAGTGGAGGTGTCCCTGGCGCTCCCGGAGACCGCTGAGAGACCCGGGGCGTCTGGGGTGACTGCAGGGAGACTCCTGGGGAACCCACTCGGTGCTGCCCGCTAGGAAGGGCTTTGCAGCCCCGGAACGGTCTGCAGGATCTCCCTGGCTGGTGAGGTTCCCCATCCCCCGTATCCTGCACTGTCGGGGGTCCTGCAGTTGGTTCGGTGCTCGAGGCACTGCAAGCAGGCAGGAAGCAGCGGGTTGGTGCTGGGCCTGGCCTGTAGGGTTGGGGCAGGGGACACGCCAGCAGCCGGGAGCTTACTCCGCAGGGATCCGAGCTCCGGGGTGGGGGGCAGGCGCTAGGCTTGAAGGCTGGGAGGCGGCGGACGCGTCGTGGGTGGGGGGTTGGGGTGCAGGCGGTGCACCGACCCTCGCCATCTGGTGCGGCAGCTACGGCGCTCATTGGAACGTCTGCCGCCAGGCTCCCAGCAGAGAGATTGCGGGGAGTGGTCGGGGGTTGTTCCAGCCCACGCTAAGCGCCACTGCGTCTCCTGGCTTTCCTGCTTCCTCAGAGTGTGCAGGAAAAGCCTGGGGTCTCGCGGGGCGCAGCAGCCGGGCCGGGCCAAGGGTGCAGCAGGAGGAGAGCTCTGGTTGGCAGGGTCGTCCCCCTGGTTCGGAACACTCGTTGGCAGCCTTTGGGGAGGTGGTGAGGAAGAGCAGGAGGCCTGCTGAGAGGAGGGGCCCGGGGCCCCTAATTATGTGACAACAGACCCTTTCCAGTTCTTCCTGTGGCCCATCCCTCTCCCACCGCCTGCAGATTGGAGTCTGCTCTTGGGAGTCCCCAGGTATACCCTTCCCAGGCAGAAGCTCTCGGATTGGAAGGGGACCACTAGCACGGCCCCCAGTGAGAGTTGGGGAGCACGAGGCTTAGCGTGTAGGGGGCTTTTTATAAGGCTAGAGCTGCCTCCTGGGCAGCAGGGACTTTCTGTCTCAGCCTCTCTGCCTTTGGGAAAACGAGGAGTTGCCAGAGACGCAGGGAAAGAACGGAGGGAGGGAAGGAGGGTCCTTGGGGGAATATTCACGGGTCAAATCGATATCCCCGTTTGGCCACGAGAATGGCGATTTCAAAGCAGATTAGATTACTTTGTGGCGTTTCAAATAAAACGGCAATTTCAGGGCCATGAACACGTGGGCGACCCGAAGGAGCGGTGGGCCTGGCAGGTTCGCAGAGGCGCCTGGGCTGCGGGCCGCGACGGGGATTTCTCCCTCGGCCTTTTCCTACTTAACCGAGGGCAAAGGAGCGACTGCGAGAGCACAGATGGCGGCTGCGGAGCCTGGGAGGCGACTGGAGGACGCGGGGGACTTGTGGGGAGGGCTGGCAGCGTGCAGGGGTTCCGCGTGATGGCCTGGCGCCCAGGCATCGGGCTGGGCCCTGCAGTTTACGGATTTGCTTTCTTCCCTCCTTCAGGTTTAGGAGATGCGTGGGGACAGCCGAGTCGCACCGGGCCCCTGGACAGCGTCGCCAAGGAGCTGGGATCGCACTTGCTGCAGGTAGAGCGGCAGAGCCAGGGGAGGAGCGCAGCCGCAGCAAGCTCCCCTCCGACCCCCACCCCAGCCTAACAGGCGCTCCTTCCTGGAGGAGCCCCGGGCAGATCCAGAGGCTGCAGGGGGGCTGGGGATAGGGGTAGTCCCTACTGCGGAGGGACAGGGCTCCGGGATGGACCCTTAGCGTGTCGGATGCGGCCTGTGGCCAACCCTACCCTAACCCTACATCTGCCCCCACACCCTGCCGAAGGCCCCAGGACTCCCCAGGTCACCTGAGACCTAGGCCAAAGGCGCCTCGCCTCCCGGGCGCGGTTAAGTCCTTTCCAGCCTCAAGTCCCTCGGCAGCTTCTACCCAGCTTGCTCTAGGTGCTAGGGCGGGAGCAGCAGGAATGATCGCGCTGCCCTGAGCTCCAAAGCATTCCGCCACCTTTTGCAGGGGGTGCGAGGACGAATAGACAGCATCGATAATAGAACATTAAAGGGCGCTCTCCAGAGCTTACTGTGGGCCACATTCAGTTCCAGGCTTGAGCGGATCATCTGGCTTCCCCTCCCACCCAGAGTGGGTCCCGTTTTTTGTTTGGTTTGTTTGGTTTTGGTTTTGTATGTTTTTTGAGACAGTCTCGCTCTGTGGCCCAGGCTGGAGTGCAATGGCATGATCTCAGCTCACTCCAACCTCCACCTCCGGGGTTCAAGTGATTCTCCTGCGTCAGCCTTTTGAGTAGCTGGGATTACAGGCACCCACTGTCATGACTGGCTAGTTTTTGCATTTTTGCAGAAATAGGGTTACACCGTGTTGGCCAGGCTGGTCTCAAACTCCTGACCTCTAGTGATCCGCCCACTTCAGCCTCCCAAAGTGCTGGGATTACAGGCTTGAGCCAACATCCCCTGACTGGGTTCTGTTTTTAACTCCTTTTTTTTTTTTTTTTAGAGAAGGAAATTGAGGCACAGAGAGGTTAAATAACATGTCTAAGGTCACACAGCAAGAGGTGGAGTGGGGTTAACCCTAGAGCCCTAGCTCTAGAGCCCACCTGGGGAGCCAGAACTTGGTGAGGCCACCAGGATCCTGCTTGGTTTAGGGCCAGGTGCTTAGCACCCCAACCCAGGGCCATTCACCCTGCAGGAGCTGCACCCGTCCCTGACCTCAGCTTTTCCCTGGCAGCAGAGGGGCTTTGCGGGTCTCCCGGGTAGCCCTGAGCACAGCCCGCCATTTCCAGATGGGTGGTTGGCGCTGGCTGGGGACAGATCCTGGTCTTTCAAATGCCCTTTACAGAGCCTCATCAACGACCCGATTCATTCCCCCCCCTCCTGTCATTTGTCTCTGCCATCGAAAAATGCCTACCATGAGCTGCTCTGCATTTCCGCCCTCTAGTTTATGTTTTACTTAAAAGTAAAAAAAAAAAAAATGTTGGCTGCAGGATGCCGTGACTTAGGTCGGCAAGTCAGCCCGAGCTCTGCATTTCCAAAAAGCAGATCTTTTCACAACTCTCTTGCCCCAAATGCCCTAGTGTGGTTTATTTTTTTAAATTTCTGCCTGGGGAAGAGAAGACCCGGGGAATATTTGAAACCCCAGCTTTTACAACATAAAGCACATGGTGTGTTTAGCCTGCTAACGGTGCTCTGGGAGTCCTGCCCCGGCGGCCTCTGCTCCCCCTCCTTCACTTCCAGCTCCAGCTGAGTGTGTTGCATGTTTCATACTCCTACATATTATAAGTGACACTAATATCAGGGACAACTAAGTGCTGGGGAACTTCAGTGAGAACCTGGCTGGCAAAGTCAACACCTCCAGACTTCTCCAAGCTACATTTCTTTAATTAATTCCGGAGTGGTGTGTGGACGGGCATCTTTGCAGTTATTATACATGTAAGTGAATTAGGTCATTTGAAGCTATGAAGGCATACCCAACGTTTTTCATTAAGAATATTATTTTTTTAGCTACTGCTGGCAACTGTTAGAATTTAATTATGATCATTTTCCTCTTTTCCTCGTTATCCCAGATATAGTGGTTGTGAGATACTTTTTCACTAAATGTGTCTCCTTAATGCTTTTGGAGTTAAGCAAGCATGCCCAAAGCACCAAGATATTTATAACTTTAGAAATTGCTGTATAGTTTATATTTTTGGAACATCACAGGTTTAGTTGGGAAAGTATTTTGCTGCTGAGTTAGAAGCTTGAAAGTTCGGCTTATAATCAAGATGCTGATTTTCACCCTCAGCACCGGGAAAGGTAGTGATAGTTTAGTTGTCAAAGACTTTTTGCAGCAAACTGTGTTTGAGACAGCAGAATTTAAGTATATCTTTCAAGTTTCACTTACGCTACATTCTTTTCAGCTCCCTCTCTAGGGGTGGGGGGGGGGGTGGCTTAGAAAAACCAAAAGTAATCTGGTTTCAATTACATGCTGTAAAAATAGAATTTGTGGCCAGAAATTAATTTGGAATATTTTTTATGGGGGCAGCATTGTGGGTTGTAAGAGTCTTTCACCAACTTTATTGCTTTTCTTTGGTTCTGGATCTAAAATATGAATGAGTAAATAAAATACAGTTTCCTTTTTCAAAAATAATTTAGTCTTTTTATCCTTGACACATAAATATAATCATTACCTTTTTATTTGTCTTAATTACCTCTTATAATTTTGCTTTATTTTTGAGGGCTAGCCAACTTAGGCAAAAATCAGAATTTTATTTGGGTAGTTTTCATTTTTCTGAAGTCGATACTTTTTCTCCTTGAATTTTGCAAATGTCATTTGATCTCTTGCAAATTCTAAATAATTAATTCTGTAGACATCGTCTGGTAAAATAACCAGGTATTTTGTTTTATTTTCTGGGCAGTGGTAGTGTTCGGAATTTATTATTCAAACGGTACTTAGAGGTAACTAGAAAATTGTGGCAAATAAAGCATACGTCCTAGTGGTAGAAATGACTGCCAATTATGACATAAAATGGTCTATATAGTGGTAGATTTTCCCCTAAGTACCACAGAACTCCGGATTTGTACTAAGTGCTAAAATAACCCCAAACAATAAAGCTACTACATTTAAACTGAGCGTGATAGGAATTCTCAAATGTTTTGCATGAGTTTTGTGATGTGGATGTACGATTGTTTCTAAAGTGCTTTAAAAGCATTTCAGAGCCTGGCTGGTGAACTAAACCCTGGGTGCTGTTTCCTATAGTCCTTCTTAAGACCCTGGGCTTTGTTTTTGCATTTAGCAAGCATGTGTAGATGACCAGATTTGATATCTCCCTCCATCCCAGTGACCGTCCCATTGTTAGACTGAACTCTAATGCAGAATGATCATCTCTCATTCTGACACTTTTATCTTTTACAGACTTTGGATGGATTTGTTTTTGTGGTAGCATCTGATGGCAAAATCATGTATATTTCTGAGACTGCTTCTGTCCATTTAGGCTTATCCCAGGTGGGTATTGACTAATTTTATGTGCAATCAAAATATTAAATGAAGTGATAGCTGATTTTGATAGCCTCGCCCAACTTGAAAACGAGTCTGTTTAAGTGTTTGCTTTTGTGTGGGAACAGAATCCCAAATTGCAAAATTCTCTTCTCAGGCCATCCCTCAGGGGTTTTATTCTCCATATTACGTTTTACTTTTTTATTCTCTTTTTCCCTTGGGGTTCATGACCAGTGTGTCTTCACCACATCAGCCTCGTTCTGAGATTCATTCTGTCCCATGCCCTGGACAATCTGCTTACGTAGTAATGCTAGATGCCCTGAAAAGAGCTTCACAGTGGGACAAGTTTCAGTCCACACTTGCTGGTCTGCACGTGGTATTATGAGTTGCTGTAAAGCAAGAGGTAAGCTGATGTGGAACATGGATTTTATGCAGAATGTGCTTTGGGAGAGAGAATGGGGAGGCGTAGATTTATGAGTGTTCACATGGAATTCAGGGTCATTTTTCCTGACTTTTTCCAGTTCAGTGGTTGTTTCAGCAAAGCATTTTATATGCTTGTGATAGAAACTCATAAAACTCAGTTTACTACTGTTTTGCACAGCAAGGTCTTAGTTTCTTTAGAACATCTTAATATGACCCATTTTTCTGGAAAGATGGAATCATCTTCTAAAAAGGGTCCATGGTTTCCTTCGAGGAAAGAGAAGGACTCAGCTTTTTCTCTCCCTGGTAAGCCAAGGGTTTTGGTGGAGGATTTGGGGGCTTCCTGGGTCCATTGAATGTCTGAAAGGGGAGAGTGTAACTGATATTCCCATTCACCTGTCTGACTTAACAAATGCGGATCGTGATTTTAAAAGTCACATTTTAAACTACATATAGGAACTAAATGTTTCTTCACGTTGTGATCTATCAGAGTGATTTTTCACCACAACTGAAGACACACGAGAATTAATGATTGATGCAGTAGATAGGTTCCAGAGGGGCACATAAGGAATTTGAATTACACCTGGCTCCTGATGTAGCGAAGCCAAAATCAAACATGCCGATTCATGTGGCTACAGTTTGCTCATTGGAAAACAAAATGACCACATTTGGCAAGCTGCATCTGGTGTATTCCTTTTATTTTTCTGCCAATACTTTTTAAAAATATAAACTTGCTGTTTGTTTACAACCTTCTCTTCTGATGTATGGATCTCCTTACCCAGTTCCACGTGAGTTTATGTAACTCTGTGTTTCTTAGGCAATGAATTAGCCCTTTAAAATGAATTACATATTTAAATGATTTGGGAGTTTTTCTCTTCCTTTTCTCTGCTTTTATCAAACCAAGTCTCCCAAATACAGTTTCCTAAGGCTTGGCACTCGGACCTGTGTGATTCATGGGATTAGTGCACTTGCAGAATGAGAACTACTGTTGGAAGTAGGAAATTTACCATTTTCCATAATTATTAGGTTGGTACAAAAGTAAACACTGTCTTTCCACTACTTTTAATGGCAATGACTGCAATTACTTTTGCACCAACCTAATATTATTCTCCAGATTTCTACCTTGCCCTATTTAGAATTATTCAGGGCCCTTAAGTTGTACCTAGACTAGTTTCTACTTCTGGCTTGGCTCGATTCCTTACCTTTTTTCAATAGTTTAGGAAACTTTTCATAGTCTTACAGTAATGTCAAAAACACAACAAAACGTTTCACATACTTTTAAAGATGACTGATGGAAAACCTTTTAAAACAGGTAAAGTCATCGTTATCAAATATTAAATTTAGATCAGAGCTCCCTAGCAGTCAAAACAAAAAGGGAAATGCATTCAGTTATACCGTTTCATTGTCTGACAGGGCAGATTCTTAACCTACCTGAACCATATAACTTACATAATAAAATCATGCCTGCTCTGTCCGTCTGTCCTTCAGGAGTGCGATGAGAAACAGATCAAATGCCTGTTTCATGTGATTTACAAACTATAGGGAGCAACACAAAAACCAGGCTTACCCACAGTTTTATTAGAACAAAGTTGCTTTCAGTAGAGTCCTTTGGGGGCTCCTATTAGGGACACTTGGTCATTTGGAATGCCCTGGCCCGTCAGCAGGTGCTGTGGACACCCCAGGACTTCCAGTTCATTCAGTCAGGCCATCCAGGCTAGCCTCTCTGTGTCATTTTTCTCTTTTTATGTGGAAAATAGAATTGATTGATTATGAACACAGTAATTGAGAAGGATCAAAATACTGGATAGGTGACAAATCTCCTGTTCATGGTCAGCTCCACGGAAGGAAATCTAGGCAGACTGGCAAGTTGAAGTACTCTATTTCCTTGTGATCATAATCCAGCAGGAAAACTTTGCATCCTAATTGAGATGAGAGGGGTTAGGCACTACCTTTTCCTAAGAAGGTTGTACAGATACGTTGTCTCTGTCTCTTCAGTAGAAGTGACAGTTTCTAAAAATGTAAGTCAAACTGATCGTCTGCCTAAGGCAACTGATTTTTTCTGATTTCTCTTCGGGGCTGCAGCCACAGAAACACTTTCAAGCTGACGTGCCCTCTTTGTCGGTGTCTAGGGAGCGTTTCACGGCGAATTGTTTAAGCACCAACAAGCTTTTCTCTCAAATCTGCCTCCTGTTCATGATTAACTCCGTAGAAGGAAATCTAGGCAGAATCACAATGTGTGTTTTTTTCTGTCTTCTTTACTTAAATAGTAAAATAAAGTATTGAATAGGATGTCAAATACTCAACTGGCTTTTAAAAATTTTTGTGCCTTTTAGATTATTTTTTAAAAAGTCAGGCAAATGTAACAAGCATGAGAACTTTATTAAAATAGGCTTGAATATTTTTTTCGAAAGTCACGAGAGCTAAAAGTGTTAATAAAATTTTACCCAGTAGTCAGAGTAACCATTTAAACAGGTTTTCTGTTAAATAACGATAGTAGTAATAGCTGGTACGTGCTCCTCTTTTGTGTTCCAGAAACTTTCAGTTACTCTCAATGACATTATCTCATTAAGTAAAGATGTATCTCATGTTAATTCAGGGTTAAACTTTATGTGAAAAGTCATGGGGAATATAAGTCCCTGGGTCTGCCGTAATTGTGTGGAAATCCACTGCAACGTGGGATTGTTTTGTTTTGTGTTCCTGAAACTTTCAGTTACTCTCAATGACATTATCTCATTAAGTAAAGATGTATCTCATGTTAATTCAGGGTTAAACTTTATGTGAAAAGTCATGGGGAATATAAGTCCCTGGGTCTGCCGTAATTGTGTGGAAATCCACTGCAACGTGGGATTGTTTTGTTTTGTGTTCCTGAAACTTTCAGTTACTCTCAATGACATTATCTCATTAAGTAAAGATGTATCTCATGTTAATTCAGGGTTAAACTTTATGTGAAAAGTCATGGGGAATATAAGTCCCTGGGTCTGCCGTAATTGTGTGGAAATCCACTGCAACGTGGGATTGTTTTGTTTTGTGTTCCTGAAACTTTCAGTTACTCTCAATGACATTATCTCATTAAGTAAAGATGTATCTCATGTTAATTCAGGGTTAAACTTTATGTGAAAAGTCATGGGGAATATAAGTCCCTGGGTCTGCCGTAATTGTGTGGAAATCCACCGCAACGTGGGATTGTTTTGTTTTGTGTTCCTGAAACTTTCAGTTACTCTCAATGACATTATCTCATTAAGTAAAGATGTATCTCATGTTAATTCAGGGTTAAACTTTATGTGAAAAGTCATGGGGAATATAAGTCCCTGGGTCTGCCGTAATTGTGTGGAAATCCACCGCAACGTGGGATTGTTTTGTTTTGTTTTTGGTCTATCCTCTCTAAATAACTACCTGAGTTCTCTATTTGAGGGTATAAAAATGATTCTTTATGTGTTACAAGCCCATCTCCATTCAGGTCTTTTATTAAGCCTTTTTAAAGTAAGTGCTGAAACAAATCTATTTCATATGCCGACCTATTTTGTTTTTAAACTAGTAAACAAGCTATTGTTGCTGACACACTTTGGTACTAAAAAACAATGACAGAGAACCTTAAATGCCAGTTGTTCCTCGGCCCAGGGTCGAAGTGTTAGGCAAAAGAAAGGCAGCTTTTAGCCTGAAAACTTCCTTTGGTGGACACACTCACACACATGTCCACACTCAAAACATCTAGACAAATTCGTATCCATGTGGATGAGGTACAGTTGGGAAAGCCACCTTTTTCCATGCATATTTACTAAATGATTGAGTTCCATGGGCTTTTTGGTTAATGCAATTATTTTACTTTTATTTAGAGAGGAGAAAAAGCCCTGTGTAGCTGCTATATACATTTTTAAGTATCCTTGGCAACGTTGCATAGTTATATAGCATCTAGGTAACTAGTATACATGTTGAGATGAATGCAGATATGTATGAGTAGCTGTTTATGAGACACATAAATTAATGTCTTGATTGAGATTATGGCCAGAAACAACTGTAAACATATCGATGATACTGTTTGAAGCACAAGACCGAAACCTTTCCTTTTCAAAGAAAAAGACAGCATGTTATGTTTGTTGACATAACTTGAACCCTGAAACCCAAACCATCTTATTTTAAAAGGCTTAATTTACCATACTCAGCTAAACACCCCAAATACAGTAACGTGCATTTTCAGAGTACCAAGCGGCTCTGCCCTTCCACACAGAATATATGCATTTAGTGCTGTATTTATCATGTGTAGTTTTCTTGGCAGGAAGAAAAGCTATTCAGCAAAACATAAAAAAGCTCTTAGTAGGAAAGCCATCCATTTTGTAGTTAGCAGGGTTTTGCAAATACTAAAATGTCATACGGAAGGTCTGTTTTAATAAGGCTGATGTATGAGACCCAGGGAGTTTTATAGCGACAACCATAATTTTTTTTTTTCATGAGGTGGTCACATTTCTTTCAATGTTCAAAAGCACGGATAGATACGTAAATACAGGAAACACCATGTCAACCATAATTTTGAGTTAGGTCAGGACTGTTTTATCATTCTGAAATTTATTCTTCAACAACATTTCCGCTATTTGAAGGCTGTTTTGCTTCCTAGACAGCTCTGGAGTTTTCCCGTGCGTTTTCTCGCGGACTGGAGTTTTCAGAAAACCAAGCCTTTCGTCTGTGCAACCTCAGTCTTCTCATTCTTCAAACGCATGTGATAAGAACGGGAACTCTGAAAACCCGAGAAACTACTCTGGGATTAAAACGCAAATCTAACCCTTAATCAGCACGGATGGAGGGTCTTTGTGCAGGGATGTCAAGATTTTCCCTAAAGCACATCAGTTACTTTTTTCTAGAAAAGAACTTTGAGCAAGCCAGATTTATCATTTTTCCCCAAAAACATGGGGAAGGAAGAAATTATAGGCCAATAGAAAATTTCTCTGTTTTTCTTATTTTTTTCTTTCTTTTTTTTTTTTTTTTTTTTTTTTTTAGATAGAGTCTCACTCTGTTGCCCAGGCTGGAGTGCAGTGGTATGATCTCAGCTTACTGCAACCTCCACCTCCTGGGTTCAGGTGATTCTCCTGCCTCAGCCTTCCGAGTAGCTGGGACTACAGGCACCCACCACCATGCCCGGCTAATTTTTGTATTTTTAGTAGAGACGGGGTTTTACCATGTTAGCCTGGATGGTCTCAATCCTGACCTCGTGATCCGCCTGCCTTGGCCTCCCAAAGTGCTGGGATTACAGGCCTGAGCCACCGTGCCTGGCCTTTGTTATTTTTTCATTTTTAAAATAAACTGTTGAAATTATGAGTCAATATGTATTTTCTTTCTTTCCTTTTTTTTTTTTTTTTTTTGAGATGGAGTCTTTCTCTGTCACCCAGACTGGAGTGCAGTGCTGCAATGTTGTCTTACTGCAACTTCTGCCTCCCGGGTTCAAGCGATTCTTCTGCCTCAGCCTCCTCAGTTGCTGGGATCACAGCTGTGCACGACCACACCCGGCTAATTTTTATATTTTTAGTAGAGACAGGGTTTCACCATGTTGGCCGGGCTGGTCTTGAACTCCTCACCTCAGGTGATCTGCCTGCCTTGGCCTCCCCAAGTGTCAATATATACTCTCTGAAACCAGCTCTCTTATTTCTTAGCCTCTGTCACTCCGCACCTGGACAGGACTTCTCAGGGCAGACCCATTGCCACCCTCAGGAAAAGGAAATGGTCCTGTCCCAAATGGCTGGCTTACACGTCGCTGGTTTATTTAAACTTTTTAAGGATTAATAGGAATGACTCGAAAGAAGAATGTTTAGCTTTCATTATTTTTCTTAAATGAAATCCTGTAATAACTTTTCAGGATTTCATTTAAGAAAAATAATAAAAACTAAACATTCTTGCTCCTATTAGAGAAATCAGCAGAGCAAAACTCCATCTCAAAAAAAAGCGAATGTCCATCTGGGAGATGTGTTGAGAACAGTGCCAGGCCTGGGAAGTGGGTGTTAAGTAGAGGAGAGGAGGATTTCTCTAATAGGATTCTCTCTGTTGCTCTGTTTGCATAATATTGGAAGGAAACATTCCATGAATAATGTAAAAAATCGAACTGTGAGAGCCATTTTAGGGACAAGATGACTTAGTGGGCCAGAAGTGTAATTTATTCTGAGTAAGAAGGCAACTTGCTCATCTTAACAAATTGGAAGAACAGGCTCATAGGAGTGCAATAAATCACTTCCTTCCTCCACGACTCCTTGGTCCCAAGTAAAAGCTGATGACCTAGATGCTAATCTGGAATGGCAGCTCCCAGGAGAACTGCTCCATTAGCAGCTGGCTGGTTGTTCTGTTGCGTGAGGTGGCACCTTCAGGATGGTGCTTTGCAGATAATCATGTTACCTCTCCTCTGATGCAGAGCCAGAGCTCCCAGCAACACCTGCAGCAAGACACACCTAAAAATGTTTTTTTAAATCCCCCTCACTCCTTGGGGCAGGGTCAGAGAAGGAATCCTCCAGACCCACCCCAGGTTCTTTGCCACCCAAGGACAGTTTCCCACGTGCTTTGAGTTTCTTCCCAGGCTGGGCATGGGGGGCACCTCTTGGCACTGGAGGAAGTCCCACCACTGCCCCGGGCCTCCCCTGAAGAGTGCTGGCGTACAGCGACTCACTGTTCTTGTCCAACACCCTCAGCACTATGGTTATAGCTCTAAAAATAGGATCCACCCACCACTGCTCAGAAAGCGGCTCTGCTAGTCATTTCTAGAACATTCCATGCCACTGTCCATCTTTAAGGTGGGTGGGGATCCAGGTGTCGTCTCTCCTCCTGGTACTTATGTTTGGGAGAACATTCAAAAGGTTCTTAAGTTCAGAAATTTGGGCCACCGGGGACCTCTGTGTGAGAATCGTAACTATGATGGGTGTTTTCCCAGGGCCACTCGTCCTTGCAAAGCGACATGGACGTGCTGTCTTCTGTGGCCTGTGTCTGGAAGTAGGTGGCGTCAAGACTATTGAGGCAGCAACCCCAGGACATAATCCTCACATAATGTGGCTCTTTGGAGCAGGCCCAGACCCTCCCGAAGGTCACGCACAGCCCCAGCCACACCCCTGGGTGGGAGCCACAGAATTAGCACAGTCATCTTGGACTGGGAAGGCCAGAGATACATTGCTGGCAACATGAGAGAGGCCTGGCAGTGCCTGAGAGGCTTGGCTCAGAGCCTACGAAGAAAGGGCCTTTGTATGAGCTTGTGTCCTCCTTGGGCACAATGGAGCCCCACTGTGGCCGGCCAGTCAGGTTCAGAGTGGACAAGGCTCCACAGGGAGCACCGAGTGGACAGGACGGCTGGCCTCCTGGCTGGCCGGTCCCCTCTGATCACCAGCAAGGGAAGGACAGAGACCCTGGCCTGGGTCAGTTTCAAGCCCTATTCTGTATGAAGGATGCTGCCCAGGCCCGTGGCGCCACCCACATCTGGCGCCCACCTTTTCCATCCTCCGCTTTCTAGTTCTTCCTGCTAAGGGTTCTCTTGGCTGCAGGCTCAAGCTTTGGTGCCCTGGCCTTTTTAGACAGTGTGGGAGACAGTTCAGAGCTCGGAGTTTTGTTTAGAAAAGAAAACTGTTTCTGCATTTGGCCAAGGTGTGGGTTGTCAGCAGAGATCAAAGTTCTGCTCCTGGCAGGGTGTGCACCTGTGACACACCTTGCCCCTCCCTCTGTGCCGATCCCAGAGACGTGGTGGCATTTCTGACCCTTCCCTTCCACGGCAGGTGGAGCTCACGGGCAACAGTATTTATGAATACATCCATCCTTCCGACCACGACGAGATGACTGCTGTCCTCACGGCCCACCAGCCGCTGCACCACCACCTGCTCCAAGGTATTCCGTCCAGAGGGAAAAAAACAGACTAAAAGCAAAGCGATGTTCTTAAGTAGAACTCAGGCTTTGCTTCCCACGTCTGCCAAGTGGCTGAAGCATGACTAGGACTGCCCAGCCCAGGTTTCTCCAACGCACACAGCACCCACCACGTGGGGATTTGCAGATCTACCTGTGTCTTTTAAGCCAGTATTCATCAAGCTCCTATTGTTGGCCAGAAACTGTGTGGAGTGCTAGGTAGAAGACAAAAGTGGTCTACACCTGCTCCCCTCATGTGCTCTTGGTTCAGAATTTCAGGGATTGCAGGGTCACGGTTCTAAACCAAGCTTCTCCTTAACCATGTAAGACTCGGGGATCTGGGGGCAGTCCATGAAATTATGGGGGGAAAATTACATATGTGTTTCTTCCAGTTGAAATTTAGTATTTCCTTTGCTTCTGATTATAGATGATAAACTATCTTGGGATCACTAGGACCTGTGGCTTTGCTAACAACAGAAATCACAGATATTTTCCATATTATATTAGAGTTGTGCAGGTATTTAAACATACTGCTTATGTTCCACATGGCTACTGGAAAATTTCAGTTCTGAGAGACCGGGAACCGAATCTTCTCATGTATTAATAAAGCGGCACATTTATATCCATATTATGGTGTTGAAATATTTTGGTAATTATTTTCCAATACAGTTGCCTTTTTGGTAATTGTTGGAAATAGGTGCTCAGTGACATAAATAAAAATTATCACTGAGACAAAGGGTCTTTCAGCAACGTGATTTTTACTTCCTGGACTGCAGGAAGGGCACTCTCACTAGCCATCTTGCCAGGGAGTACAATGAATAAAGAAAAGCACACAAATTTGTCCCTTATGCGTTAGGGGTTCTCCTTATTGCTGTGTCTGATCTCCGTTGGCTGGAGCCAGACCTCACAATTTAAACTAAAACCCAATTGGCTAATAACTTAAAACTTTTCTAAGCAGGTAAAAGCAATGGAGAGCTGGGACATGCCTGTGAGCACGTCCAGCAAAGATATCTTGGTTGAAGCACAAGGGCTTAGAATGTACTATGTGCCCGTAAGCCTGGCATGTCTACCAGCTACATAGGATAGGGCTTAACAAAGATATTATCAACTTATTCTTTAACAAGACAGGAAGCTTTAAAAAGGAACTTTTCTACTTCCCGCAATAATCTTATGTATTTTACTTTATGTATTTAAAAATGTTACTTCAAGTAAGGATCTGTAGGTTTTGTGCCATGGCACAAATCATCAAGAAATCCTGGTCATCACACAAATGACTCCTTAAGTTTCAATTGCGATGAGTGCTAGGAAGATACAGAAGGAATTATTCCAGGGAACCTGGCCTTTTAACTCCCTCCAGCCGCCCAGTGAGGCCAATAGGCCTCTTGACAAATGGGTCCTGTGTGTGCTTTGGACTATGGTACCCAGCTTGGCCAAAATACCCCAGTGGAACAAAATGCAAAAGAAGAGTCTTTAAGGGTAATGAGAACAGAGTAGCTGGCTGCAGGAAAAAAATGAGTTGCATTCTTATTGCTCTCTTCTGCGGGGGTCATTCTCGGGCTAGGAAGGGAGAATACAGAATGGCACACTCAGTTGTAAAATGCCTTGCAGACAGTTCTCTGGCCCCCAGATCCCAGCTGCAGAAATAGTCACTGGAGTTTAATTATTCCTTACCACGGAGAGAGACTGGCATCTTGGCTTCTGAAATGAGAAGGGGGACCTAGTTGTAGCTAAGTTCTGATTCTTGGAAGTGATATGTCTGCACACATCAACATGAGTCATGGCTCTGAAGAGGTAATTTCTAGCAAAATGAGGGCTAGGCTAGAACATCGCAGCTGAATCAGATTCTTTCCCTGTGGGGTTGTTTAAAGCTGGACAAAGATGACAGGTGTCTTAGAGAATTGCAGAACGTCGTGCTGTTGTTGTGTTTGAAAATTGCACAGTATGGTTTTTTTTTTGTTTTTTTTGAGTCAGAGTTTTGATCTTGTTACCCAGGCTGGAGTGCTGTGGCATGGTCCAGGCTCACTGCAACCTCCATCTCCAGGGTTTAAGTGATTCCCCTGCCTCAGGCTCCCTAGCTGGGATTACAGGTGCCTGTCCCCATGCCTGGCTATTTTGTTGTTGTTGTTGTTATTGTTTTAGTAGAGATGGCGTTTTGCCATCTTGGGCAGGCTGGTCTTGAACATCAGGTGATCCACCTACCTCCGTCTCCCAAAGTACTGGGATTACAGGTGTGAGCCACTGCCCCGGCCTGAAAGTTGCACAGTATGTTAACTGCATGGGACTGGCCTTTCTCCCCTACTGCTGGTTTCATTTTACCTTGCCTGGGTCATAACCTCCCGAAGAGGGATTGTAAATGAGAGCAAATGAGTCTTGGGTATATCATGAGACCTTTTCACCCCGTTTCTGTGGCCTTCAAGTCTGAAGCAACAAGGGCTGGAAGCATTGAGGCCGCACCTGACTCATTTCCACAGCCAACCGAGGGGTGTAGGGGTTGAGGTTCCCAAGTGCTCGGTTTTTTCCCCAGCTGCTCCCTTGCAGAGCTGACTTTCTGTGTCTGAAATGACCACCATTATTTTATGATAAATGTGTGAGAAATGGGCTCCCCCCAGAACTTAGTAGTTAATGATAGCGTGATATATTTTAGACCTGAGCTTCCACTCCCACTGCTTATCTAGAAATGGCTGGGGCAGGTAGCCATGTTAGAGGGAAGCCTCCCACCCACAGACACTAGCTGCAGGGGGAATTGTGGGTAAAATATGGCAGCCTCTCCAAGTAGGGGATTCCTAGTTGGTGATTCCTGAGCTTCCACAGGGCAGTGACGTCAGGAAGGGTGGAAGACCTTGCTTCCATTCCTAATGGTAACCTTTCTTTAGGTTAAAATAATAAAAATTCATTTATTAACCTCCACCAAAGGGCTGTTTATTTAGAGTGGGGTGACCTCGTCCTCCCTTGGAGGTCCTTCTCTATTTGTTTCTCAGCGCATTGGTGTCCCTTCCTGAAGCAGAGGGTGTTTCCTTAGGGGACACATTTGCACTGACAATAGTGAGGTCAGAGATTTGTGTGTGAGGCCTGTGGAAGCAAAGAGAGTAAGTAGGAAGGGCAGTGCCCTGGAGAGACACAGACAACGGCGTGGTCCTTCCGACCTAGGAGTGAGGCTGAAAGCGTGGATCCGCTGAGCCTGGGTCACACGCACTCAAGTCCTGCTACCCTGAGGGAGATTAGAGGCTTCTGGGCCTTCCTGGAGCCCACAGCCCCCAGGAGTGGGTGACGGCAGGTGGAGCTCTGCAGGGCCCATCTGGGGCCTCAGGGGTGGCCTCGTTTGGCTGCCTTCCTTTAGAGCTGAGGAAGCCACACCAGGACTGGGCTGGTGTCTCCACTGCCCTACCCAGATCTCAGCCAAGGCCAAAGATCTCTGGGCAGGTTCTGGGCAGGCTGAGAGGCCTCTGGCAGCTGCATCTGGCCCTGGGAACGCATTGGTGAGGTTGTAAGAAGGATGGGAGAAGGAAGCCTGGAGGGACGGCTGACAACCTCACCTTGCTCCTGCTTGCAGAGTATGAGATAGAGAGGTCGTTTTTTCTTCGAATGAAGTGCGTCTTGGCGAAAAGGAACGCGGGCCTGACCTGCAGCGGATACAAGGTACGGGGAGCCCTGGGTGCGGGGAGGAGCCGGCTGTGGGTCCTCACTGTGGTTTTAGCAGCATCTGCAGAAGGGAAGGCACGGGAGCACGCACGTGTCCTCTCCGTTAATGTAGCCCTCTCCAGCAACACGGTGTACAGTGTCTTGGAGGCACATGTGAGAGCCGGTGTTTTAGCAGGATGTTCTGGGCTGGCTGCAATTCATCACATAAGACCCGGAATCAGTCTGGCTTCAGGCAGATTTGATTAGTACCTTGGCGCTTTGCATGTGGGCCAGCCCTGCTGGAGCCACTGCCCCTGGAGTTTATGGAGGCCCATCATCCGGGGCACGGTGCCTGGCCGTGTACCCAGAGCACAGACACTGCTCTTCCCCTCGGGACGTTCTACCAAGTTCCCTGCTGCCGATGACGGTGTGCACGACGGTAATGCTAGAGCCCGTGCCAAGGTACGAGGAGAGCTTTCCTGTGCAGCACCATGTCTGGGCCACTCTCTCAAGAGTCACAGCTGCCCTTTGGAATGAGTGGCACCAGCTGGGGTTTGTAGTCAAGGACCAGAGGAGGGACAGCAGAAGGGGCTTGGTGGCAGGGCTGGGACTCTGAGCCCAACCCACGATCCTCCCTGGCTGCACTTCTCTGCCAGACACCACCACTTGTTCTGGTTAATTCCAGAATGGGGAAGAAGGTGGAGTCTCAGGCATGAGAGCCAGCCGCTCCCCAGGGAAAGGTGGGCAGGGGTAAGTCTGTGCTGAGTGCCCCCACCAACCCTTTTGCCCCCTCTCTGGACTCCTCACCCTCCTCCCAGGCGCCTTCACTGCTGTCTCTCCCACCTTGGAGGACAGATGTCATAACCCACCACTATGAGGCTGGAGGCTGCTAGAAACTTTCTTCCAGGAGGATTTGCTCCGTAGAAAAGGAAGGAGGAAGGTGGGGTGAGAGAAAAGGGCGCTTTGGTGCTTTTGTGCCTTTGTCCTCTCTTTCTGGAAGGCCCTGCCCCAGCCCCCCTCTTTGATCCCACTCTGAGCTGATCCTTTGACCTCTATCTCACATTGCTGCTACAGTTTGAGGGATATGTTTCAGATGCTAAGCCTCTTTGGGCCAGGGTGGGGAGCCCCCAAGTGCCAACAGACATTCTTCAGGGAACTTGGGTCTTTCTGCCAAGGGATAGGATCTTGTTGTCATCCAGGCCGGAGTACAGTTGTGCAAACACAGCTAACTGGACCCTTAAACTCCTGGGCTCAAATGATCCTCCCACCTCAGCCGTCTGAGTGGCTGGGACCACAGGTGCACACCACCACACCCAGCTAATTTTGGTGGAGATGGGGTCTGACTGTGTTGCCCAGGCTGGTCTTGAGTTCCTAGCCTCAGCCAGTCCTCCCGCCTTGGCCTCCTGAAGTGTCGGGATTACAGCAGTGAGCCACCGTGCCTGGATGGGATTGGACTTTTTTCTGCCACTGATTAACTGTCCACTGTCCAGTGTTAAGCAAAACACGACACTGTCTTGTTCTTGGTTTCCTTATTAGTAAAATGGAAGAGCAGATGGGAGGGTTTAAGATGTGTTTCAGCCCTAGAGGCGATGAATACATTCAGAAATCCTGGAGGAAGGGTTTTGGAACAGAGAATTTAAGGCTAAGATGATAACGATCCTACCAAGATTTCACAGACTGCAGCTTGAATAGATGCTTCCAGGAGGAGGCTGGAGGCTGTGTGGATGTTCTGTCTGACACTGAAACACTGCATTCTCGTCCGTCTGGTTTTTGACTATGGCAATTGGAAGGGCTTCTATAGGGCCACTCTGGCTTATTATTATGAGGGGATAAAATCTGGAATTATAAATAAAGGAAATAAAAATACATTAAAAACGAAGTACTGGGGCTGGGCACGGTGCTCCACGCCTGTAATTCCAGTACTTTGGAAGGCCGAGGTGGGAGGATTGCTTGAGCCCAGGAGTTCAAGACCAGTCTGGGCAACATAGTGAGATCTTGTCTTTACAAAAAAATTAAAAAATTAGCCAGGCATGGTGGCACATGCCTCTGGTCCCAGCTACTCAGTAGGCTGAGGTGGGAGGATCACTTGAGCCTGAGGTCAAGGCTGCAGTGAGCTGTGATTGCACCACTGACCTCCAGCCTGGGCAACGAAGTAAGACCTTGTCTAAAAAAAAAAATCTACCGAAAGAATTGTTTATTTACTGGAGTGAGACCCCATGTCAAGTGACACAGATGCCAAGTTCAGTCCTGTCAGAGTGTGGCAAGCAGCACAGTCACTGGTGTGAGGATTCTTGTCGCAGTGGCTCATTCTTTTTTTTTAGACAGTCTCACTTTGCTGTCCAGGCTGGAGTGCAGTGGTGCAATCACGGCTCACTGCCGCCTTGGCCTCCCAGGCTCAAGTGATCCTCCCACCTCAGCCTCCTGAGTAGCTGGGACCACAGGTATGTGCCACCATGACTGGCTAATTTTTAAAAAATTTTTTGTAGAAATTTGGCTTCTGCCCGATGCCTTTATTGTGTTACCTACTCACTATTAGTGAGCTAATAATGATATCTCCATCATATATCACAGAGCCCTAATTTGTAGTTACTGATAGTAAAGGTAATTGGAAAGACAACCCTTTTATTTTATTATGATATTTTGTTGTTGTTTGTTTGTTTTGTTGCCCAGGCTGGAGTGCAGTGGCACAATCTCGGCTCACTGCAACCCCCGCCTCGAGGACTCAAGGGATCCTCCCTCCTCAGTCTCCCAAGTAGCCGGAGACTATAGGCACCCACCACCACGCCCGGATAATTTTTGTATTTTTTGTAGAGACTGGGTTTCACCATGTTGCCAGGGCTGGTCTCAAACTCCTAGACTCAAGCGATCCCCCAACCCTGGCCTCCCAAAGTGCTGAGATGACAAGAATCAGCCACCAGCTATCATATGGTTTCGTAAGAAGCACAGCTCTCCACTTCTCCTAAGCAATGGACCAGTGCCTGTCAGCACACTGGGCTGTGCAGCGGAGTAGAAGCTGGGCTGGGAGAGATTCCAGCACGCTTGAGAAAATGAGCCAGGAGTAGTGGGCACCAGCCCAACCCGGGCGGCCGGTGGCTGACCCTGCCCTCTCCACTCCCAGGTCATCCACTGCAGTGGCTACTTGAAGATCAGGCAGTTTATGCTGGACATGGCCCTGTATGACTCCTGCTACCAGATCGTGGGGCTGGTGGCCGTGGGCCAGTCGCTGCCGCCCAGTGCCATCACCGAGATCAAGCTGCACAGCAACATGTTCATGTTTAGGGCCAGCCTCGACCTGAAGCTGATATTCCTGGACTCCAGGTGAGTTGGGCACCTGCCGCCACGGCTGTGGCCTTTTGGAAGACACCGGTGGCAGAAACGGCCCCTGAAAGCGGCAGCCTAGGGCAAATCCCAACAAGGAATAAGTCGTGCTAGGAATGTGGACTAAATAGCAAGGAATTAAGTAAAACCAATTTATGAACCGAAGGAATATATGTCGGCCTTAGGACTCGGGGACTTGTTTTATTTAATTTACTTATGATATTTGAATCACTAGAGTTTGAAATGAAAACATGTGCTGTGAGCACGGCTTGGCTGCTTTTGAAGGCCGTGATGTCAGAGCACTGCCTCCTGTGTCCACGGAGGACTTTAGAACACACAGAAGGTTTCCACCCTGAGTGTGGTGTGTGGGCCTTAGCACTCAGGCTGGTGTGAAGCCCCCACTGGGCTGAGGCTGGGAGCAGAGAGGCTGCCTTCTCTGGAGGATGCTTTGCTCACAGCTCATGGGGGCCCCAGTCCACATCTGGGCTGGGAGGAGAGGATTCGATGACATCATGTCCCCCGGCTTTGGGGAGGACCTGCTCTCCAGACCCCTGCCGTAGTGGCCTTCACTCTCCCCCAGGGCCAGCTGCAGTCCCAACACATTTTTTAAAATTGAAATTAATTTTAATTTTTGTTTATTTTTTTGAGATGGAGTCTCACTCTTTTGCCCAGGCTGGAGTGCAGTGGCGTGATCTCAGCTCACTGCAACCTCTGCCTCCCAGGTACAAGTGATTCTCCTGCCTCAGTCTCCCGAGTAGCTGGGATTACAGGCATCTGCCACCATGCCTGGGTAATTTTTGTATTTTTAGTAAAGATGAGGTTTCACCATGTTGGCCAGACTTGTCTCAAACTCCTGACCTCAGGTGATCTGCCTGCCTTAGCCTCCCAAAGTGCTAGGATTACAGGCATGAACCACTGTGCCCAGCCTAAAATGGAATTTAATTTTTAACGGACAGATGCTAACTGCGTTTGGTTATCAGCGTTTTGTGGTATTCGTAGGGTGCAATGTGATGCTTTGACACGTGTCTACGCTGTGGAACAATCAAACCCCTCCCAAGTCTGGAGGCCACACGCTGGTGAGGCCTCTGTGTTCTTATGTGCAAAATAGCAGAGCAGCCTGCCCACTCACTGCTAGGAAAGTTGAAATTCAATGATACACTGAAGCACTGGAAAGAGCAAAGCCTCTCTTACGGGAAGGCCACTTTGGCTCTTGGCATGTAGGTTCCTTGGCTGTGCAAGCAGGAATAAGACATCAGAGACCCACTCCTGATGTGGGGTGTGTGTTCGATGAGTCTTTGGTGGGGAAAGGAGAGAGATATTTTGCTTTCTCTATGTTCAGATGCCAGGATTTACTGCTTCCTTTTCTTTTTCACTTTTAAAATTGTGGCAAAATACACATCACATAAAATTGATCAGTTTAACCATTTATTGATGCTCTATAAAGAAAAAAACAAATCTTCCTGGTTAGGGGCAAGAGATACAGACAGGAAGCCGGGCGCAGTGGCTCACACCTGTAATCCCAGCACTTTGGGAGGCCAAGGCGGGTGGATCATAAGGTCAAGAGATCCAGACCATCCTGGCCAACATGGTGAAACCCCATCTCTACTAAAAATACAAAAATTAGCTGGGCATGGTGGCATATGCCTGTTGTCCCAGCTACTTAGGAGGCTGAGGCAGGAGAAGTGCTTGAACCCAGGAAGCAGAGGTTGCAGTGAGCCAAGATCGTGCCACTGTACTCCAGCCTGGTGACAGCAAAACTCTGTCTCAAAAAGGAAAAGAAAAGAAAAAGACAGGAGTTGGTTTGGCTCCTTGAGATGCACTTCGGGACCACTCAGAGGCAGGGAAATGACAAGGGTGAGCGTGTCAGTGTCACCAGCATCTTCCCAGAAATGTCAAACAGAGAGGAAGCAGTGCTCTTTGGGGAAAGCTGCCAGCACCTCTGGGGTCAGCCAAGAGTGACAAATGCCATTTTCCTGCCGTGCAGAGGGAGGCCCTGTAGGGAGAGAAGACAGCCGAGCTCTCCCAGCTGGGCGCACCCCTCTGCTCCCTCTTTTCTGACTCAGGAGCCACTTCTGAGAGGCAGCTGGAAGGACATCGGCTGCCCAAGGTCATTATCAGAGATCCGGGAGGATCTGACTGGTTTTTCCCTTGTTTTGTCTCCTAGTTTTTCTCTGGTCATTCTAGGAAATCCCTGAGACTGATGAATTCTTGAGAACAGGAAAGAAGGGGCATCCCCAGAGGAGAGACATGAGGGTTTTCAGGCTGTTCAATCCACACTGCCCGGAAAGGCAGCTGCGGGTACAGGAGGTGGTGCCTGAGGGGGTCTGGACAGGGCCTGGATGGGGCTCTGTAGTACCAGTGAGGGCTCCGGCATCTCGGGGTGTGGGGGCTGCACCCTTGGAGTGAGCAGGAGAGATGGCTGGTAGTCTCAAAGGAGAAGTCCTGCCTCTCCCTGATCCCTGGTTCTTCCTGCCATATCAGGAAGCTTCTAGCAAAGCCTTGAGGCCTTTTCTTAGCTGCAGTCACATGGGATAGGCTGAAGGGGGTCAGAAGAGTGCCAGAGAGACCTTCCCAGTCACCAGGGTCAGTCTGTGACCAGGCGGGATGGGGCCTGGGCTGGCCCAGCCCCAGGAGGACAGCAGAGTGGCCAAGCGGCAGGGTGGGGTGGGAAGATGTCCCTTTTGTGTCCAAGCCCCAGGAGCCAGGCAAGGGCTTGGCCCAAGGTCCAGCGGCCCCAAGTCACAGGAGCGAGGGTGGCAGGACTGTCTGGCTCCACAGCCGTCGCAATCCCAGACACAGCTGAACTCACCATAACCTGAAATTGGGTTCGTCGGGGTTTTGTGGTATTTCACTTTGAAACTGGAGCTGATGCTTTTGCTAAGGATGGGTGAACACAGCGATGTTTGGGGTTTGGCAGATCCTTCTGACAGGTCTTCAGACACTAGAAGCTTGGAAAAAACCGGGAGGGCACCCTGCCAAACCCCTCCATTTCCCTTTAATTTTTAGAGCCAGTGTGTACTTTGATGAGAAACTTAATACATGTGTTTCTGATTCATTTACACGTTTGGGGCCGTTGTTCTGTAACTGTGCATCCAAAGGGTCTGGGAAGCCTCTTTCATCCCCACGTGGTAGAGATGCCTGGTTTTCTATTTGGGGGAAGTCAGACGGCTCAATTTTCCTGCCACACAGAGTTAGACTCTGATGGGGCCTGAAGTTCTAGGTGGCCCTTAGACAAGTCCCCCGATCCCCAAATGGCTCTGGGCTGGGCAAGTTCCCTCCCCCAGCACCGCAAGCCCTGTCTCCTTCCTACCCCAGAAGAATCTCCTACCATGGAAATGTGTACGCCAAACAGCAAGCGATTCCAGGGAAACATGAATCTCCCAAGATTTACGACCCGGAGCTTGAGCAGAGCTTCACAGAAAGGGAAGCAGGTTAAAGAATGAAAGTGAGGTCAAGTTTCCCAGTTTAATTTACAGCTAACGTCTCCTATCCTAGTAAGGAGAGCCCCCAGCCCCGGCCCTCCCTCGTTCCCCCACCTCACCCAGCCCCCAGGACTGACTCTGCACCAGAGCCTTGCCTGCACGTCCCTCTTTCATCTGTTGTTGAATATCTATCAGCAAGATGTTTAGGACCACCTCCTTCAAGGGCACGGTGCCCAGCCCCATTGCCCAGAGCCTGGGAAACCATCGTTGCCACTTGCAGCTTCCACCTACAGCCACAGCCATCCTGATGCGAGTGATGATGTGGTCTTGGGTGCTGAGAGCCACTTTTCTTCAAAGAGCCGAAGTGGGAAATCCACGTGCCCCAGGCTTGATGAGAACGCAGAGGGCTCGTGTCACACAAGACATGGGAAAATGCTTCCATTTCTCTAGAGCGCTTAAGGCTTTCCTTTTAGTCATGATATCTTAGGTCATTATCCTGTCTTCTGGGGCATCTGAACCAATTCTCTCCTGATATGAGGCTTTAAGGTGTCCAGTTATTCCATCATTCCCAATGGTAGGAATCACCCGATGGCTTCATCCTGAGACCATCTGTGTCAGTCAGCAGTGTCTAGTGTGCCACGGAGGTTTAAACACGTGCACTCACAGTGGCTGAGATGTGCGAACAACTGTGCAGACAGGGATGGATGAGCCAAAGGTGGGATCTACATAAAACAGAAACGTATTCAGTCCTAAGAAGGAATGAAGTTCAGATGCATGCCGCCGCATGGATGAGACTTGGAAACATCGTGCTGAGTGAAAGGAGCCAGATACACAAGGCCATGTGGTGTACCATCCATGGATGTGAACTATCTTGAAGAGACAAATCCCTAGAGACAGAAAGTAGAGGCCGGGCCCAGTGGCTCATGCTTGTAATCCCAGCGCTTTGGGAGGCCGAGGCGGGCAGATCACGAGGTCAGGAGATAGAGACCAGCCTGGCCATTATGGTGAACCCCATCTCTATTAAAAACACAAAAATTAGCTGGGTGTGGTGGTGGGTACCTGTAGTCCCAGCCTCCTTGGGAGGCTGAGGCAGGAAAATCACTTGAAACCGAGAGGCTGTGGTGAGCCAAGATCATGCCACTGCACTCCAGCCTGGGAGACAGGGAGAGACTCCACCTTAAAAAAAAAGAAGGGAGGCTACTGGGGCCTGGGCAGGGGGCAGCAGGGGCTGATGTTTCATGGGGACAGAGTGTCTGTTCAGGGTTATGGAAAGCTCTGGAAAGGGGCAGTGATGCCTATTCCACAACATTGTGAGGGCAATAAATGCCACTGAATTGTATGCTAGAAATGGTTACCATGGTGAAGTTTATATTATGTATATTTTACCACAATTTATTAAAAAATTTGCACAGGACCATACCCCCGAGGCCTTCCAGGAGTGGGTTCATTTTTCCCTATGGGAGCTTTCTCACAATCTCAGGATCAAAGTCCACTTGTAAGTGTTCCCCGATAAGCTGAACCTCGAAAAAGGCTACAATTTTAAGCCATCCCAAAAATTATCTTAGCCAGTGTGTTCAGAACATTCCCGTTCATGAATAGTGCTACATCCTGCCCCGGACTAGAGTTCAAAGACTTGCTTCTTGTAAAAAAAAGATCATTTTCAGTTTCCAAAATCAACATTTCTCCCTCGAGCCTTCTAGCACTTGATTACTTGGCAAAACCAATGTTGGTTTAAATGAAAGGCAGTCTGCAGTGTGGTGTAACTCACTGAGCCACCGTGCCCCCGCAGGGTGACCGAGGTGACGGGGTATGAGCCTCAGGACCTGATCGAGAAGACCCTGTACCACCACGTGCATGGCTGCGACGTGTTCCACCTCCGCTACGCACACCATCTCCGTGAGTAGCGTGCCCACCCCAGCCACGGGAGGTTGCTGGTCAGGGAGGAGGCGCTGAGGACAGAGCTGGGGGGACATGTCCCTTTTGTTGGTGCAATAATCATCCATGATACACACTTGAATCTCAAGCCTTCAGTGTTGTTTCCTCCACCCCATGATTAAGTATGGCTGCCAGTTGTTGGTTCTCAGGTAGCCACAAGCACCCTTCCAGGGAGACACTGGCAGGTGTAGGATTGGGAAGCTGCCTGGATTCTAGATTGTGGATGTGGAACCTAAACTCTGATGTCTGGACGCCATTTGTGAATAAGAGCAACAATGATGGAAGAACGGCTAGTTACGGAGCTCTTACTGCTGTCAGGCACTAGTTTAAGTGACTAAGTATGTTACCAGCTCAGTGAGGGAGGACCTTCATTTTACCAGCGAAGCTGCTGAGGTCCAGATAAGCCACTTGCCCACCTTCACACAGCTGGGAGGTGGCGGAGCTAGGAGCTGAACCCACACACAGCCCTGTCTCCGACTGCCATACACCTGCCAGCTAGGGGAAGCCGGGGGAGGCCACTGTTCATGATGGGAGAGGTCACCTTGGAAAGGGTGAACAAACACCAATTTGATTTGCCAATGGAGGCGCTTTGGGAACATCTGGATTTAAAGGGGGGTGCTCTAGTCACTGAAATGTTTCAAGAAATGATACTTTTACTTTTGTAAAATTAAAAAAAAATTTTTTTAAAGACCGTCTCTGTCGCCTGGGCTGGAGTGCAGTGGTGCAATCTCAGCTCACTTCAACCTCTGCCTTCTGGGTTCAAGCCATTCTCCTGCCTCAGCCTCCTAAGTAGCTCGGATTACAGGTGCATGCCACCATGCCTCACTCCTTTTTGAGTTTTTAGTAGAGACAGGGTTTCACCATGTTGGCCAGGATGGTCTTAAACTCCTGACCTCAAGTGATCCATGTGCCTCAGCCTCCCAAAGTGCTGGGATTACAGGCATGAGCCACCGCTGCCGGCCGTACACTCTTCTCTTAGAATCCAAACCGAGCAGAGAATAATTTGGTTGGAGTGGAATGCCTCATCTTCCAGCTGTCCAGCCCTGCCATGCCCATGGCTGGTTGGGGGTGCTTTATAATGGGGTGCAGATAGTTAGAGGAGCTGGGTCTTCTGCAGTGTGGCCCAGATGGCATGTCCTCGGTTCTTGTTCTACCTTGTGTTGGCTGAGGGATGTCAGAGGACAGGCCGCTGGTGTTGCATGGGAGGCGGGCGGCAGGCCCGAAGGCCGCTGGACCCACAGCGGCGTGATGTGCTGGGTTTGGTATGGACTGGGACCCAGAAAGCTCAATACTCCCAGGGTGTCGCTGTTGCTCTTCCCTCCCCAAGTCTCTACAGACAGAAACCGGTGACAGCCAAGACTTCTGGCTGGGCAGGCACGGACAGCTTCTTCTTTGCTCCTCGCTGTGTGGGAGACTTAGAGGTGTGAACGACCCTTTTTTTTTCTTTTGTTAGAGACCAAATCATGATCTCATAATCATCTCTGTCATTCTGGACACCAAGCTTGGTAAAGAAGCAACTGCCTAGTGTCACTAATTTGGGAGCCAGAAAGCTTTCTTGTGCAAACTAGGTATGGTGCTTCAATTCTAGAATTCCATATCCAGGAAACTTGAACAGGCAGATATGAAGAGGGGAGTGGAGGGGCTCTGGAGTAGCAGGAGCAGTTAGAAGATGAGAGAGGCATCTGCCTCGAGGCATGGAGCCGTGCTGTGCACCCGGAACAGCCTGGGACTTGGAGAGCGAAGGTGAGGGCTCACACCTCCATGCACTCCCCGAAGAGAGGATCTGGAGCCCCCTTCCACAGGGGCAGGAACATGCTGGGGGAGCCTAAAGTGCACCCCTGAATTACAGCAAGGGAAGACCTGTTCTTCACAGAGGGCTGAAAGGCAGGAATTAGTCAGGCCTCTAAGCATAGAGACAGAAAACAAAGGGAATCAGAAGTCTTTTTTTTTTTTTTTTTTTTTTGTCTTGCTCTGTTGCCAAGCTGGAGTGTAGTGGCAAGATCTCAGCTCACCGCAGCCTCCAACTCCTGACTTCAGGCGATTCTCCTGCCTCATGCTCCCGAGGAGCTGGGACTACAGGCTCCCGCCACCACACCCCACTAATTTCTATAGTTATAATAGAGACAGGGTCCGTCCATGTTGACTAGGCTGGTCTTGAACTCCTGACCTCAAGTGATCCACCCACCTCGGCCTCCCAAAGTGCTGGGATTACAGGTGTGAGCCACTGCGCCTGGACAAAAGTCTTCCTTTCAAATACACATTGCCTTTTTTCTCACACTGCCCGGCTAACCCAGGAGCAGGGTGGTTTTTCCCCTTGTGTTTTGGAACGGTACTGAAGGCCACAGTGAGGCTGAGTCAGTGGCTCCTGTATGCCCATCATGGGTGGATGCTTTTCACTTACAGACTCTGACCTGCGGGCATTTCAGGGAGCTAAGTCCCTCTCGTGCCCTTTTCCCAGGTGATCAGGTTGAGACTCGGGCCACTTGCCCAGGGGAGGCAGTGGAACTGGGCAGGAGCCAAAGCCACCCATTGGCTCTCGTGCCGTCAGCCATGGTCACTGCCACAACACACCGTGAGGCTTCACCTTGGAGATTCGGCTGTGGCCCTGCCCTCCCGAGCCCTCCTCACCAGACCCACAGGTGATTTTCTTTGAGGGGTCTCCTGTGGTTTATGTGATCAAGCCACTTTATCTCACTGGAAGTTTCCAGACATTGCAGTTGTCCCATGGGACTCTGAAAGGGCAGGCAAGACAGGCTCCCAAGAGACACGCAGAAAAGGCAGGCGTGTTTAGAAATTAGATGGGACACAGCTTTCTTTTCCGAATGAGCCAGAATTGGTAATTCAAAGAGAACAGAAAATAGTGAGATTGGCAGTATTGCTGCTGTCCTGTGACTCGGACTTAGCTGTGGCAGAGACATGAGCAGGACAGAGGGCACCCCAGTCAGGCTGGGGGCTGGTGCGGTCCTGGGGTTCACCATGAGTGTCCTTGCCTCGGTTTCCCCTGGCAGTTTTTAGAGGGTGTGGCAGCAAGGGCAGCCTCAGATGATGGGGGTTCTCTGGTTCTGGTGTGGGAGCCACCTGCAGGGCTGAGCAGCAGCCTCCCCTCAGCGCACTCAACTGCGATGTCGGTTGTGCTTTTCCAAAGCCAGAACTCTCCGGGGAGACAGTCAACTCCAGAGCAGGGCCTTCAGAGTCAGGGTCTTCACGGTGTGGAGCTTTGTGATGGTGGAGGCCTCGCTCTCCTTCCCAGGTGCAGAACCTGGCCCAGAGGGGCCAACCCCAGGCCTCCTATTCCTGCCTCTCCACCCCCAGGGCTGGGTGGCACCTATTTGATTTCCTAAAACTCCAGAAGCTGCCCCTGAGCTTCTGGTTGAAGTGCTCTGGTTGATTTGGACAGTGGGTAGACATGCGTAGGGGAGTGAGGAGTGAACCAGGGAGGAGAAGGAGCCACAAAGGGTCTTGTCCCCTGGCTATATCCATGGGAGGCTGGCACTTAACCCAGGCGACACCCTGGAGCCAGTGTCATCAAGCAGAGGGAGAGTGAGCTGAAGTATTGATACCCCCATGCCTGTCAGTCAGTGGCTGGAGAGCCGCTCTCAGGGGGCCTTGATTGCCCGGCTTACACCCAACATGGTCAGAGTGGGCCCAGCCACGGAAGGGCCTCAGTGGGAAGAGCAGGTCAGGCCGCTGGACGTGGGGGCCAGAGCAAGGCCGATGTCTTCACAGCCTCTTCTCAGCTTCCTCCCTGCTGGGCCTCCATCCAGGCTGTGTGAAGATGTTCTCTGTTCTAACCCTCCACAAGTTTCTCCCTTCCCGACCCCATCTGTCATCTTTCCCGTGTCCACACAGGCTGCACCTCTCTCTGGGGGTCCCTGTTGGCTGACAGGAGCGTCCTCACAGCCAAGCCCCTGATGTGTGAGGGTGAGGGAAGCCCATCCCCCATGCTCTCCAGTTCTGTCTCCACTCCTGGCTTTGTACCAAAGGCTGCCACCTCTCCCCTTGCGGAGACATACCCCGCTATTGCTTGGCCCCATAGAGCCCCATCAAGGGACCTCAGGTCTGAATGATGCTTTTGTCTCGTGGTGTGGAGACTTGGGGACCGTCTTAGTGTCCCAGGGCTGCCCTCACAAAGCACCATAGACAATTAGCTGCTCACAGCCCGGAGGTGTTGGCAGGGTTGGCTTCTCCTGAGGCCTCCCCCTCTCTGTGTCCTCAAAGGGTCATTCCTCTGTGCCGGTCTGTGTCCTAACCTCCTCTCCTTCTAAGGACACCATTCATATTGGATTAGGACCCACCTAGATGACTGTTACTGTAATTACCTCTTTACCCACGTAAAGTCCCGGGCTGAGAGACCGAGGGTTAGGACCTCAACAGAGAAATCTTGGCGGGCACAATTCAGCCTGAAACAGGTCATTCCTTAGTATGCTGTGTCCTCGCTCACGTCGTTGGGAGGGGCCCTTCCCATATTTTAGCTGGATAGGCCGGCCTGGGGAGGACAGGAAGGAGCCTGAGCAGGCGGGAGGCTCCATCTTGAAATGGGACTTGTTAGTCCCATCACACAGTGTTTTGGTGGCTGACGGCAGGGCTCAGGGCCTGGCTTGAAGGAAGGGTGGTGAGGCCAAACTCTTCTTTTTTTTTTGAGACGGAGTCTTGCTTTGTGGCCAGGGTGGAATGCAGTGGTGCAATCTCAGCTCACTACAACCTTCGCCTCCTGGGTTCAAGCAATTCTCCTGCCTCAGCTTCCTGAGTAGCTGGGACTACAGGCACCTGACACCATGCCCAGCTAAATTTTTGTAATTTTGTAGAGGTGGGGTTTCACCACGTTGGCCAGGATGGTCTCGATCTCCTGACCTCGTGATCCTCCTGCCTCAGCCTCCCAAAGTACAGGCTCCCTGTTTGAGCCTCCTGCCCTCTCAGGCTCCACCACAGTCCCCACTGTGGCAACTGTGGACCCAGGACTC